CATGTATAAGCACTATTTTTGCCCCCCCCCCCCCCCCAACAGAGCAGGTCATCATCAACTACATAGGGTTAGTGCCCAGCAAGTTCTACAAGATATTCACTGACGATGACAGGTCGAGCTTCGTCTCGCACGTGCTCTACTCTGTGGGGCTCATCCTGGCCGAGGCTTTTGTGAGTTGGTTCGTTTGTCGTTTTGTTAAGTTGGTTTGTTTGTCGTTTTGTTAGGTGGTTCGTTTGTCGTTTTGTTTTTGGTAAGTGGTTTGTCATTTTGTTTTTTGTAAGGTGGTTCGTTTGTTGTTTTGTTTTTTGTAAGTGTTCATCTGTCATTTTATTTTTTTTGTAAGGTGGTTCATTTGTCGCTTTGTTGTTTTGTAAGTTGGTTTGTCGTTGTGTTTCTTTTAGCTTTGGTCATTGGTCGATTTGTCAATGCCCCTTTTACTGTTTAAGGCTTTTGTAAGTTGGTTCATTCGTTGTTGTGTTTTTTTAAAAGTTTGTTCACTATCGTTTTGCTATTCTTGGTCGTCGCCCCCCCCCCCCCCATCGCCCATATGTTTATTATTGATATATATATATATATATATATATATATATATATATATATATATATATATATATATATATATATATATATATATATATATATATATATATATATAAGCCATACTTATTTAAATATACACTCGGCTAATGATACAATCACACGTATAGTTTTGTTCGTAGTCGTCACATTGGGGTTTCGAAAAGTCGGAGCAAAATTTCATACACATCCTGAAACTACTCATTAATCCACACCACTAAAGCGCATGTCCGCTGTGCTCTAGTTAGCTATTGATTTTTTAAAAAAAATTACTGAGCGTGGATCAACCTATTCTAATTTGCATATACTACCATCCACATGTCATATCTCACATAACTTCATTGTCCTTGAGACAAGCTGTCGTTGCATTAAATGAGCTTCACTCAAGGGCGACCACCAACACATTCTTACGTTTTATTGTTACATCTTCTGAGTCTTCTCCCCTTATCTTTCAAGGCGTGCTAAGGATCGGAAGGGTAGTTAAAAAAGTTGAACAATTCAATTTTTTAAATCATGTACACACGATCTAACAAACATTGTTACACGTATTTAGGGTTAAAATTTAATTAATTGATCGTGGGCATCACGGTAGTTTAGCTTCTGAATAGTTTTATCGTCCGCACCGACAAAATCCGATCATGATTCACATGAGTCAGGTGTGTGTTCTGAACTCCGCCGAACCCATGAAACTGACTTACCGAACCCTTGGGGTTCGATCAAACTCAGGTTAAGATCCATTGGTAAATCAGTATCCTAGCGAGGTTGTGTCAGGGTTTTTTTCATGCTATTATTATATTATGCTTAGAATTAGGGGTTTAGGCGTCAAATAAATATAATTTTTTTAACTGCCGTAACTATTTATCTGTCGGTATTTGACCTTGGCCAGCAACAAGGTCAGGGTTATGTTAAAAGTATTAAAAAGTTTGCTTATCTCTTCAAATGTGTTCGTGGAAGTATTGATTAAAAGTACATCTGGATTTTGGGAGTATCATGGGCCCTAGGATTGGGCCTTTGGCGGCCGATATAACACCGCAACATACAGAGCATGGTGTATGGTGGGCTTCATGTGTCCCACATCACCGCTACTTACAGAGCATGGTGTATGGTGGGCTTCAGACGGCCCACAACACCGCTACTCACAGAATATGGTGTATGGTGGGCTTCAGACGGCCCACAACACAACACGGTGTCAGTTCTTGAAATTCATTGATGTGCACCCTCTCCCATAGATGCTGTTGAATGTTTCTAACATCAGTTCTAAGATGCAGAATGCTTAGATCCTGTTGGTTTTATTTGACCCCTTGACTCTTCTCATCATCACAAATGTCACATGTCAGGTCACTGGCCAGTTAGTTTTATTTGACCTCTTGACCCTTCTCATCATTACAAATGTCACATGACCTCTTGACCCTATCATCATTACAAATGTCACATGTCAGGTCGCTGGCCAATGGTTTTCTTTGAATGAATAGCTCACCTGTCAGCACCAGTTTGGTTCACGTGACACACCTGTCAACGCTCACATAGCCAGCTAGGCTTTGTGAGCGTGTGGATATCGTCCTACGGGCCGAGAGGCAAACTAAAAATGTATACTGAAAATTCGGTTTGAACTCTAGATCTACTATGTTTATAAAGAGTCGGTCACTATGGGGTTAAAGGCGAGGAGTTCAATCAACACAACCAAAGTGGATTTCATTAAAAAAAAAAGACAAGTTGCTTACAATTTTAGATGAGTAGATGGTTTCTCCCCATCCGTGACGTCACACACTAGGTGCGTAAAGTGGGGGGGGGGGGGGGGGGGGTTCCCAACTGTGAGCTTTGTGGGAGAAGTAGTTGTAAGAACCGTGTTGGAGCAAATACGTTGCCGTTCGAAAGAATAAAATGATTTTAGTTAGAATTATGTTAGAAGAGAGTAAGACGTTGTTAGAAGAGTAAGACGTTTTTCATGGACTATCCAAGAGCGTGTCATTGATATATGCTCCCAAAAACTGATTGTCCTTTTAAAATTACAAATCTTTAGAATGAGAAACCATGACGGCCGCCCGTTAACTGCAAGTGCCACTCTTCTCCGCACACATAAAACCGAGTTTGAGTATAGTTGAAATTCAACCACTCAGCCATGTATTACGCAAAGTTCCAAATAATAATATTCTAATAGCTCAATTCACGAATTCCTGTTTTGGCCTAAAACAAGCTTTTTAATCTGGCAGGTTCTGAGCACCAAGTTGTATGTAGCGTCAGTTTTGTATATAACATGGCGCTCCAACATTAGCACCGCCCTACACGATCTCTACTTCTCAGATATATTGTACTACAAACTGAACGTCGTTGATAAAAGTATAGACAATCCGTAAGTTTGTTTCGTTTTGTTCCTTCAGTCACTTTAAGTCATGCTAAATGTTTGTTTATGAGTTGGGGAGGGAGGGGGGGGGGGATGAAAGGGGAAGGTTATACTATTTGACGATACATTACATTTTTTTTACATCAGTGAAGTAGGAGGCGTGTGCGGTTGGGGGGGGGGGGGGGTAGGAAAATGTCACGTAGAATTTATATATTATAAGCACACAAGTGATTCATTACAAAAAAAAAAAAAACTTGCTAGTTTTTGTGATAGTTTGTTCTTTAATTGGGGGTGCTGTATAGTTTTTGTTCTTCATTCAATTGGGGGTGCTGCATGTGAAGGGGGTGGTGAGTGATTAGGAAGGGGGTGGGGAATGTGAACTGTGCTAGAAGGCAGTCTAACTAAGTTGTAGGTCCTATCAACTTGTATGAAGTTTCACTCCATTAAAATGTTTACAAATTTTGTTTTCAGGGACCAAAGAATTACCCAGGATGTTGACCAGATGTGCAACACGTTTAGTAAAGTTCTGGTGCCCATCATCATCACACCATTCACCACAGGCTACTACATGTACTATAGCTGGCAGGTGTAAGTCATGAGCACATGGTTTTTTTAATAAGCTCTTGTTATTAACTAATGAGATTTTTGTGTGAAACCTTGTTATTAAGAAATGATCTTTTTCAGTGTTTCCTCCAGACTTTCTTGGGGGGGGGGGGGGGGTGGACACTGTTAAAAGTATATATTTGATGCTTTGAAGAAACTTTGATCTTTTTATATATAAAGTTATTATGCAGACATGATCTTTTTATTTATAACTTTATCATGCAGAAATGATCTTTTAATATATTAACTTATCATGCATAAATGATCTTTTTATATATAAACTTATCATGCATAAATGATCTTTTTATATATTAACTTATCATGCATAAATGATCTTTTTATATATTAACTTATCATGCATAAATGATCTTTTTATATATTAACTTATCATGCAGAAATGATCTTTTTATATAAGTAATGAGTCAAGAATCAAAAAGTTTTTGTGAGCAACCTCACTGAAATATATGCTTTAATATATTTTCATTAGTAGCTGGGAATAGTGCTGACCATACTATCCTGTCATATGGTGGATCATAGAAACAGATTAATTCTGCTTCATCTACCCATGGTTGTTGGCTAGAAAAATACTTTTTAACATATTTTCATGACATTTTGTTTTGAAATTCCGTTGAATCTGACTTAAAATCTTGTATTATTCTTCCAACACCAGCACCCAGTACATTGGCCCAGTCAGCACTGTGGTGTTCTTCATCATTTTTACAGTCATCAACAAACTTCTCATGTCTCCTGTGGTCAGATATTTTTATTTACAACAGAAAAGGGAGGGTGACTTCAGGTGAATAATTTAATCCCAAATTTTTCTGGCTAAAATTTTTTTTAATTGAAAAGAAAAGGTATGTGTTAACTTGTGGCCTAAAATATTTTTTTTTTTCTAATTCGATTTCATTTGTGCTCTAAAGTATTTGTCTTTTCCTAAAAATCTTTTTGATTAGATTTAATTTGTGGCCTAAAATATTTTTTTCTAAAAATCTTTCTGGTTAGATTTCATTTGGGCCTAAAATGTTTTTTTTTTCTAAAAATCTTTTTGATTAGATTTCATTTAAGTCTAAAATATTTTTTTTTCTAAAAATCTTTTTGTTTAGATTTCATTTGTGGCCTGAAATATTTGTTTTTCTAAAATTCTTCCTGGTTAGATTTCATCACATGCAAATCCGAACCAACTCTGAATCAGCAGCTTTCTACAGAGCAGGGAACTTGGAGAAATCTAAAGCCAACATGAAGCTTCAGTCTTTGCTTTCAACTCAGAATAAGCTTATACGTTGGGAGTATGTGCTCAATTGTAAGATAAAGCTCAGTCTTATTCTACTCTACAGGCAGTACATTTTCAAGACAAAACTAAATAGCATCTAAGATTTTAAACACAGATTTTTAATCAAAATGACCTATAGTTAATGTATAAAAGTAATTTTTAAGAGGAATTACATTTAACGTATTATATAATTTGAAAAAAATATTTTTATTTGAATATCCATACAGGCCTACTAGCAAAGTGACATTTTACAGTTAAACATTGCTAATATAAAATTGACTCTCTTGTTTATTGTTGAACTATGTTTACACTACCAGTGAACAATAATACTTTCTATCTGACCAGGTAGCATCAACACAGCTGATTATTTGGGTGGCATTTTGAGCTACATTGCCATAGCCTTCTCTATATTTGGTGGTCAGTATAAGGACCTTTCACCTGGGGACCTGACTGCGCTCATTAGTCAGGTAGGAAACAGGTCCCTTTTAGTTTCCACTGTATATGACTTTTTTTGGCTAGTATGAGAACACAGATATAATATCAAGTTGTCTTAATTCTACAAACATGCCTACTAATACTTAAGATAATACATTCTTTCACATTGTTTCATTCCTGTTTTTAAAAATGTGTGTGTTTTTTCACTTTATTTTTTTTACAAAATAAATTACTGATTTTAAATTTTATCAAAATTTTTATTCACTTATATTTTCAATATATAAACAATTTAAGAGTATGGAAGTTTGAATACCATTTCTATATTTAATGTATAATATTCAATGTTGTTGTTGAGGCTGTCAATTTTTATTTGTAATCTCCCCTTAATACTAAATGAAATCAGGCTTATTGGTGATCCTTTATTAAAAGTTACTTCCAATATTGGATATTAAACTCTGATAATAATAAATGCTTTATAATTTCTATAATGTCTGTTTTTTATGCCTGTTTTGCAAAAACAGAATATAGAGTTAGACTAAAATGGAGTAATTTAGCAAGATAACATGCTACAACTTCAGATTTTTTCTCTCACCAGAATGGGTTTTATTCCATTTATCTAATCAACTGTTTCACCAAGCTCATTGACCAGTCTGTCCAAGTCACAGATGTCGCTGGTGCTGCTCACAGGTAAGAGCTAATTTTTTTCTGGCGATATTTTAATTAAGGGAGATAAATATTAATAAAATGTAATTTGTTTCCCTTTATACTGTAGGTTTGCTATCCAACATTATGATAATTGTCAGAAAAATATAGGTTTAAATTGACATCTAATTAATGTCTAAGTAAAACGTTTTATTTTCAAAATTGATTTGTTTAATAAATATGAAATATATATTTATGTTTGTAATTTTTGTAGAATAAGTCAACTTTTTGAAGAACTTGGTAGACTGAAGGCTGACACAAAAGATGAAAACAACTATTACATTCCAGCTGTGGAGAGGTGTTTATGCTATTACTATAGGGCTTTTATAATTAATTTTATAGATCATCCTCACATTTTATATTCTATATTTGAATTAAGTAATATAGTATTTATTTATATGTAGTATAAACTTTATATTCCTATATTGTTTTTACTGTTTGAAATTGGATTTTTAAATATCAAACTGTAGGCCGCCAAATGTTGATTCCAGGCCTCTACAGTCCAGTGGCTCAACAGCTTTTAAAGTACAAGATGTCACTTATGGTTTACCAAAGTCTTCCAAAGTTTTGTGTAAAAGTAAGATCTAGAGCAGTTTCAACTAGCATTAAATATTAAAAACAGGTTACATTTCAGGTTTGAAAAATAGAATTAAAATAAAAAAGAATACCATGTTAATTAGGACCATTATCTTTTCTCACTCGTACCCAAGATACATGGGGCAGATAAAGTAGAGTTCATCTGTTTCAGTAACCTTGGCATACATGGGATAGTGTACGATTTTAATTATTTATATTGTCAAAGTTATTTCACATTTAAAAAATTTTCAATTGTTAATTAGAATGGTAAATATAGTTAAGATGGTAGTAAACTTTAGTTTAAAAAATATTTATTGATTAAAATATTTCAATTATAGTTGTTTTTTAACAATTTAAATTTAAAAAATCAGTTTTGTAAAATTTTAAAAAATATCTTAATATATCAACAAAGAATTCTGGATTATTTTTACTTTGTATGGTATGATATAGAAGAATTTAATTTTTTATTTAAAATAAATGTGTGCAGTGAATGTCACTAAATAACATTTTTGGTTATTAGGACAACTGTTTAATAAATTTGTTTTTATCTGATCAAAACAGACTGTATTAAGATAACTGTTTAATAAATTTGTTTTTATCTGATCAAAACAGACTGTATTAAGATAACTGTTTAGTAAATTTGTTTTTATGTGATCAAAACAGACTGTATTAAGATAACTGTTTAGTAAATTTGTTTTTATCTGATCAAAACAGACTTGACATTCCAGCTGTCAGCAGGTACCTCTGTCCTGGTCACCGGGGACAGTGGCTGTGGCAAGACCTCGCTACTCAGAGTCCTCAGTGGATTATGGAAATCTTCCTCGGGTAAATTTTAATGATTTATTTAAAGTTTTAAAAATATTTTTTCCTGCATTATTATTCTTACAATTTATTTATTTTTTAGAAGTAAAATTGAAAATATTGATAAAAAATTAAATTTAAAAAATAAAATTGACATAAAAAACTCTCACAGAAAACTCATCAATTTAGTTTTAATTATTTAAATATACTTTAAAATATAGGGGTTATTATTTAAAATTCATGTAATTTGTTTTTCATTGTATGTAAACAGGTTTTGTCCACTGTTCTATTTAATTTCAACTAACAACTTTTTCCAGGTGATATTGACAAAAATGTGAATCTGGGCCCAACAGGGTTGCTGTACTTGCCCCAGAAACCTTATTTAACAGATGGAACATTGCGGGAGCAGGTTGTTTACTGACAATAATGATGTATAGATTCTATTTAACATGATTTCCTGTAGTTTTCCCACTGTAATAATGTACAGATTCTGATTTCACATGATTTCTTGTGGTTTTCTTACAGTAATAATTTATTGATTCTGAATAAATATGAAGATTTCTTACCAATTCTTATTTGATGTTAAAATTTTTTAAGGTGCATGTTCACACTAAAAGTTGAATGAAGTATGAAGTCTTGATTTTTTTTTTGCAGGTAATTTATCCATTACAAGAATCTGAAACACTTCCAGGTATGTTGCTGTCTAGTTTTGTTTACATTTGTTGTTGTATCAAATTAATTAATTTAATGATACTACTACTGGAATATATTTATTTTATAAAGATATTAAAATGTACACTAAAAATTAGTATATAATTACCTCTATACTGGCATAAAATAGCATGTCAATTTGAAATAAAGTAGTTATTTCAGTATCTTTTTATTTCTATAACACATTTTTTATCCTATCAGATGATACAAAAATTCTATATTACCTTGACCTTGTGGGGCTTAAAGGACTTGTTGAGAGACTTGGAGGGTTGAGTATCAATGCAGATTGGAACTGGTAACCATCAATTTGTTTAAACTCTCATAACCATAAACCCTCAAAATTTGTTTGCTTGTATGTACACTATACAATAACCTGAATTAATTGTTATATAGTTGTTTAATCCACGGCTCTGAATAGCTGAAATATCAGGTGTACATGACATTAAATTTCAGGTATGATGAAATGTCCCCAGGGGAGATGCAGAGGCTTTCTTTTGTTCGGCTTTTTTTCCATAAGCCTCCCTATGCAAGTAAGGGAATAATTTTCACCAACATATTTTAATAATACACTTTAATGACATGACATTTACATTTTTTTTAACAACGCATTTTTTCAATAATTAATATTTACAAAAAAATTTTGTTTTGTTGCCTTGATCAACTTTTGAAGTATAGTTAGTGTTTTATATTTTTAGTTGATATATGTTTGACCATGCAAATAAATGGGGAAATAATTCTGTTTGGAAAGAACTTTAATCAATACATTTAAAAAAACATAGCTTCATAGAAATGTTTTCCTTCTTCTATTAACTCCAGATAAGACACTGGTTAACCCCTTAAGATACTGGCTGTAATTCCATTATGACTTTGTTATTACTTTAAACTATAATGGCAAACTTAATCCTTTGTAGTTAAACATCTAATAAATATGTTTGCCCATCTGCTTTAGAAAACAAAAAAATTTATTCAAAAAGATTTTAATTCATGATTTAAAACCAATTTTAATTGATGTACGTGTCTCTAGTACTGGACGAAGCTACGAGTCAGGTCAGCCAGGAGATGGAGAGCCTGCTGTACAGCACCTGCAGGAAGCTGGGCATCACCTACATGAGCATAGGTCATAGGTCAACCATCAGGCCCTATCATGAGATGGAGCTGCACCTGACGGGGGACGGAGGCTGGGCTCTTAGTTCTATAGGCAGCAACATCAACTCGGATTATAATTAGTCCTGTAGGTTAACATTGCGGCTTTTATTAATATGTTAATTTAATTTATATCTCATTTAAAGTGAATTATATTTTTTAAAATTACATTGAATAATAATAGAATAATAATTTCAATTTTAGCATCAACTTCAGCTTTTGAAATTCATAGTTCCAAATAGTTTTGTCATTACAGATGAATACTGAAGAAACAGTATTAAAAACAATCATAAATTGTTTACTTTAATGTTTGTGTTCTTGGAAAAGACCTTTAGCACAGCATTAAAAATACTTATTTTATCGATATTGAATAGAAATCATATTTAAGACATCTACTCTCAGGTAATGCACAAAGCATTGTTATATTTATTTATTCACAAATCGTGTTCCAATTACCTTCGAATAACAAGTTAGTTACTATGATTCCATGATATGTCAACACATTCTGATTGAAAATGTTTTATTCTAATGTTGCTGTTTAATCCCATGTTATTGTGAAAATTGCATTTTAAACGAGTACGTTTGTAGTTTTAATGAACATTGTTTTAAATTGCATTTTAAACTTATGTGAGTTTGTAGTTATAATGAGCATTGTTTTAAATATGAACTTTAAGAACCATTTTTAAAAATCAATTTTATAGACCAAAGTGTTTTTATGTGGCATTATATCTGTCTTTTATCTTACTTCTAGAAACATTTTTTGTTGGTAATTTTTAGTTCACAAATAAATAGAAAAGGTGGAAAATGTTATTTTCAATTTTCAGTTATTTTTTAAAACCACTTTAAACATCCTCAGATATTTTTCAACCTACTGCCATTATTTAAAAAAAAAATATTTTATTTAAAAAAACGCAAACCAGTGTTCACTATCTGTTAATGAACCTAATTAGATCTTATTGTAATAAAAGGTTGTGAGGTCTTGCTCACTCCAGTCTTGTGGAAGTTGCCCTGTGCTCGCACCTCCACCCTGCTATTGTATGTAGGCCTAATCACTGCCTTATTTAGAAGCTTGTATCATACACTGAACATTAAAGTAGATAAACAAAGTAGCTATTGATAGAAAAAAAACATGTTTAAAATGTATTTGCTATAAAATATGTATATACATATATGTAATGAATATGGATAGCAATATTTTATATTGAGATTCCCAAATATTGAAAATAATATTCCTTTCAAATATATATTTTTTGTAAACAAAATTAGCTTTTTGTGTGCTTAAACTTAAAACAATTAAATTGAAATTTGATTATTTTATTAAATGTTTTTCATTTTTGAGTTATCATTATTGTGACTATTTTATTATTTTGTTTTGTACACTGTTATAAATCTGTTATTTTAATTGGTATCGTTTTTTATTGACTGAATTTCTGTATCTTATGTTATTGGATTGAAAATTGCTAGCAGCCTTTATTTTAATAGCATTTTTTAAAGCTAATATTTAAACTTTTTTTGTGATAAATACTCTTTCATATTTTTTCTAGCATTTTTTTCATACTTGAAGTAAAATGATTTATTTAGATTTTATACTGAACTTATAAATAATTGATTTCTTAAAATAATTCTAAATTAAAATTACAGGAAAATAATAAAGTGTCTATATCTGTTTACAGTTAGTTAAAAATTAAATAATATTCTAGCTTAAAATGATGTATTTTACAACTTATCATTTTATTAGTTCTTCCTAAAGTTTGTGTTCTATCAATAATTCAATTTTAAAAAATTCTCTTGTGCCTTAAATGTAACAACATATCTTTGTACCTGTTGACTAATTAAAGTATTCTTATGATAGTATTATCTTTAAGGATCTCAATTGATGAGGTCCATTATAAATTTTTAAGCTAACAAGAACTAATTGACATTGTTTTTAAACTACACCATATTTAGTGTAATATTTTGAAAAATTAATTTTTATCAAACATGAAAATTGATAAAAAGATTTTTAGTTGTTTTTTTTTCATGTATTTTTCAATATTGAATTTTTAGCAAATAAAAGTCATAATTTATTGACTTTAAAGTCATAATGTACCACTAAAATTTTGTGTTTTTGGAATTCAAAACCACGAAGAAAATTTTAGTAAACTACATATATAAAGATAGGAATTGATTGAAAGCTAATTATGTGTTTAAACATTTTAACAATCCAACTAGTGTATTTGAATAAATGAAAAATATTTTAATATATCATTTTCACCTTAACTCTTGTATTGATATATTATTTTTCAATGTTTTGATATTATTGTTTAATTAAAAATGGGGATGCATTTGTATCAATAGCATGTATGCACATAGAATCATAGAATCCTGTAGGTTGGTGTACATCCAGGGTACGACTGAGGAAGTATTAAAATAAAATGCAATTGTATTTTCTAAATTTTATTATATGATCAGCTTGGGCTTGAAACTTTCTTATACTTGCTATTACATTAAAAAAAAAAGCAATTGCAAAGACATTTTAAATATTCATTCAGTTTGTATTGTATGAAGTGTTTATACTTACTTTTTAAAATTTTTATCAATTAAATTATAAGGCTTTGTTTATTTTTCTTAAAAGTATACATTTTCTCCTCATTTTCATTATTTAGACTCCATTTATTTAAAATACTTTTGGCTGTAGTGTTAGTTCTCGCTAACTTCACTGTGGGGGAAGATTTGTTTTCTTGTTTGAAAGTGGTATACTTTAATTTATGCTACCCAGAATACTCTAGTTGACTGTTTGTTTGTGGGTTGTGTGATGTGGTTGACGCACGAGAATATAACATTTAAAATATCGACTGGAACAGAAATACAGATTTGATAATTTGCAGTAGTTTTAGAGAGGAGTGGATGAAGAGCAAAGCTGAGCTTAATTCTGGGTGGTGTGTAAAAATATACAGACATGTTAAAAAATGAGGCTAAACGTGATGTCAATTATCGCTGACACTTTATCATACATGTCAGTGGGGGTCTGTTGGCCCACAATTGTTGTAACACTGCAATATAACATCTTATTTTCAGAACCAAACCTGATGTTAGTTAAAAACTGACAGTGGGTGACTTTTTTTTTACCATGTAGTTATTATAAAATACATATTTTCATTATTATATGTTTTGAATATTGAAATGTAATGGAGTGAAGAGTGTATTGAGTTAATTTTATTGAGGAAATAAATGTTAACGACTTTCTAATGCAAAACTCATTGTTTATCGTCTTCTGTTTCTGTTTTTTGGGAGTTTTATGTTCTAGACGGATTTATATCAGTGGTGACCCATCTACCATAGCAGGTTATTTCAGAGAGTGATCTGATCATTTAAAGGCTCTAATGCAACATTTACATCACTCAGTCTTAAGAGCCAATACAGACTCATGTGTTGTCTCCTTAAGCATATGTGCCAACAATATCAATATGAGCCAACACTGTAGTATACATCATCATATGAGCCAACAATATGAGCCAACACTGTAGTATACATCATATGAGCCAACAATATGAGCCAACACTGTAGTATACATCATCATATGAGCCAACAATATGAGGCAACAATATGAGGCAACACTGTAGTATATATCAACACATGAGCCAACACTGTAGTATACATCATATGAGCCAACAATATGAGCCAACACTGTAGTATACATCATCATATGAGCCAACAATATGAGGCAACACTGTAGTATATATCAACACATGAGCCAACACTGTAGTATACATCATCATATGAGCCAACAATATGAGCCAACACTGTAGTATACATCATCATATGAGCCAACAATATGAGCCAACACTGTAGTATATATCAACACATGAGCCAACACTGTAGTATACATCATCATATGAGCCAACAATATGAGCCAACACTGTAGTATATATCAACACATGAGCCAACACTGCAGTATACATCATCATATGAGCCAACAATATGAGCCAACACTGTAGTATACATCATCATATGAGCCAACAATATGAGCCAACACTGTAGTATATATCAACACATGAGCCAACACTGCAGTATACATCATCATATGAGCCAACAATATGAGCCAACACTGTAGTATACATCATCATATGAGCCAACAATATGAGCCAACACTGTAGTATACATCATCATATGAGCCAACAATATGAGCCAACACTGTAGTATATATCAACACATGAGCCAACACTGTAGTATACATTATCATATGAGCCAACAATATGAGCCAACACTGTAGTATACATCATCATATGAGCCAACAATATGAGCCAACACTGTAGTATATATCAACACATGAGCCAACACTGCAGTATACATTATCATATGAGCCAACAATATGAGCCAACACTGTAGTATACATCATCATATGAGCCAACAATATGAGCCAACACTGTAGTATACATCATCATATGAGCCAACAATATGAGCCAACACTGTAGTATATATCAACACATGAGCCAACACTGTAGTATACATCATCATATGAGCCAACAATATGAGCCAACACTGTAGTATACATCATCATATGAGCCAACAATATGAGCCAACACTGTAGTATATATCAACACTTGAGCCAACACTGCAGTATACATCAACAAGTCAAATGTTTATTATCTTACCTCTCCACTACAACAAACTAATCATAACACACCTCAAACAAGCCCATCATAACTATGCATGCACTGTTACACAATTTTTCTTGACATTTTACATTTGAATCCTAATAACAATAAGTGATATAATATAAGCATGTAACATTAGCTATAAAATGCTTAATTAAAAACAACTGATCAAACACCTTTTATATTTAAACAACAAATGTATAAATTTAGTTGTATTAAACACAAAAAATTAAATTGTAACAACTAAGGCACTTGATTACAAAAAGGTTAATTTAAGGTTAAGAATATGAATAGCAACCATTATCATTAACATATTAATTTACAAAACATTTAAAAGCTGCAAAATCAACAACCTTTTCAAAATATGACTTTGGCAGTAATAAGGCAGTGAGAGATATTTTTTTTCCAATTCAGGGTAATCGTGACAAATGAAAAGTAAATTTAAATAAATTGAATAGTGATAAATATTAATTACTGATATATTATATGATAATATATTGTAATTTAAATATTGATACATTTCACAATGTATATAGATCTATATACATTTGTAAATATAGTGTGTAGGACATAATCTAATATGTAGTGTGAATTTAACATAAAATTTTAGGAGAGGGGAGACTAGACTCCCTGATTCAGGGGCAGTAACTGATGTAAGGATGAAGAATTGGACTGTCAGGAGGCTGGTGTAATTTATAAGTAAATGTCTTGCTTACAATATATCTGCACCTCCCACTCTGTTGACACTGATCAATGGGTTGTGGGTCTTAGAAGGCTGGACAAAAACAATAGTGCAGGGAACTATGGGAGAGAGACATGGGTGGAAGGTGATGTCTAAAAGCTGAATGTGTAGAGATGGTAATTCTGTGCAGGAAAGTTTTCTGTTTATATTGGTAGCTTTTGAGTTATACACTATACTTAAAACCTTGGAGAGTTAAGTGTGCCTAGTTTATTTTTATTCTTCTTGTGGAGCAATAGATGTATTATTTTATAGGCTGGGGTGATGTTTAAAAAGCCAGTGAGGTTTTCTTAACAGTAATAAACAAACAGTAAATACAATAATTATTTAACATTCGTCAGATATCTGCCTTTAAAAATTGGATCAATGAACCACCAATTGAATTGTATAGGAAATCAGTTTGACAGAATACAAAACATGTTTTAACAAGATGAAGAGGGTGACAGCTAAAGAAAATCTGGACTTTTGTAAACCAGCAGCAGCACTGCGGTCACCTGGAAGTACAGGGCTGTTCAATGTGCCAGGGAAACTGGGAGTTGCCAGGGTGGATGTTGAAACTGGAGAGTGAATAATTTGTTTTATTAAATTTTCATTTACTGTATATATATATATATATATATATATATATATATATATATATATATATATATATATATATATATATACACATAAACATATATATAAATGATAGAACTTTTTAATTTGTAATAAATGATAGCAGTGTTTCCCAATTTAATACAGATGAAGCCCGTGTTTGAAATTATTTTAAAAAATCAGTCAAATATAATTTGTTGTGATGTGTATAGAGGTTAGAGGCTAGCTGACCTTGTTGATCCCTTGGTTGCTGCTCTGAGCTTGCTTGGATTGCCCTACTTGTGCTTGTCACAACCAACTCATCAAACATGGGCTCAGGGCGGATAAACTCAGCACAGATAACATCAAAACCTGGGCAAATTATCCTCCCATCATGACCTGGTACCTTCAACAAGGGAAGAACAGATGTTGTTTATGTTCATATCTGCTAGTAGGCAGGAAAACTTAGATTAATTGATAATTAAATAAGTAATTATGGCTGTTTAAATACTAGTAGTAGGGGAGAGGTAGTAAGAGGAGGTTGTGCAGGAAAAATGGGGGTGGTGTGGTTGAGAAAACAATTGCTAGCCTGAGTCTCCAGTATAAATCCAGGATATTCCCCTGAGCTTATCCAGCTCCAGTGGGTACCTGGCTCTAGTTGGGTAAATAAAGGTGGATGGGTAAAATACTGACCACACAATACTTACAAATTAAGAGACCTGGACAAGAAATGGTAACAAATGCTATACCTTGACATATGTTGTCAACAAATGCTATACCTTGACATATGAACCAGCCTATCAACTGAGGTAAGAAATGCTATACCTGGATATATGAACCTGGGTGTAAACTGAGGTAACAAATGCTATACCTTGACATATGAACCAGCCTATCAACTGAGGTAAGAAATGCTATACCTGGACATATGAACCTGGGTGTAAACTGAGGTAACAAATGCTATACCTTGACATATGAACCAGGATGACAAAGAAGCCATTCCCCATGATTTATTCGCAGGTAATATTTGTCAGCATCACACTTTCTTTCATAGCAGCGTCCAGATAGCTCAGACAGCTGTAAGACAATCAAACATCCAGTGTGAGTTGTTTAGTGAGTTGTTTTATTGTGTTGCTGTAGATTATTTTTATAGTTTTAGTGTGTTTCTATGGATTTATTTTGTAGTTTTGGTGTGATTCTGTGGGGAGTTTTTGTAGAACAAATCCTACTATCTTTTTACCATCATTTACACCCTGATGATTACAAACTAGCTCACCTGCTAACCTGTCTAAACATTTTACACTCATTAACCTATTCTCATACCAACAATAGTTTACTTCAATCACCCATCAACATACACAATCTCCCCACTATCTCACTACATGTTTACAATAAACAACATCACAACACCCCACAACTCTGTTTATATAAATAAACATTATACAGTACCAAAAAGTTTTGTAAGATATTTGCATGACTTAATAGACTTGTAGCAAACAGTTACATCAAGTGAGATCAGCTGACCTGTTTAGAATGTACATGAGCAGGGGTGATGGAGGAGATAAAACAGCGACTGGATGGTAGGTACACTTCATCTTCGGATGTGGTTGTGTTGACTGGAGGCAGGAAACATGGGCGCTGTCAAAGTGTACACATATTTTATGGTACAATTTAAAACATTTGGAAAGATGAAACTATGGTGCTGTGAAAGTATACATCTATTTTTTGGTACAATTTAAAACATTTGGGCAGGATGTATGGGATGGTGTTTTTGACTGGAAGCATAAAACTTAGGCGCTGTGAAAGTACACATATATTTTTATGTGCACAGAGTGATTTGAATGCAACTATCATTGCCCTGGCATCAAAAACTTTCCCTGAACCAAACCCTGCCATAGTGGCAGGTAAAAACAACTTTGAAATGACACTGTTTTGTTGTGTAGACTTTTTTATAAGAAAAGATTTTTAAAATAAAAAAATTTCCTGATAGCTATAATTCTGATCTTTCAAAAAAATAATATCAATTACAGTTACAAGATGGAGCCTATTCATTGTTGCCTACTTTAAACCAAGAAATACTGTAGTTTCTATCCCCAGTTAAGAAAATTTTTCAAACTGAACTAAGGGAACAAACTCCAAAATATGTTCAAAAAAAAACAACTCAAAAGTTTTCCATGAAAAGAGCACGACAGACCTGGTCAGCAGCATAAACTCCACAAGTGAAGGTATCATTAGGGTTATAGTTACACCTTGCTTTGGTCAGGTGGAGGTGATGACATCCTGTGATACTAAACATGTAAGCAAAGGAGTTAAAAGCTGTAACAGATAGGACTACATTATTGTAGCTATTTTTTTAATATTTCAAATAATACAAATTAAGAATATTTGCATATTTGTAGTTAATTTCTTAAAACAACTTACTTCTGTGTACAAAAGCCATCTTGATACTCACAAGAATCCTTCAGACCAAATGAGCAACCCTGACCTGTAGAAATTAGAAGTTCAAAATAAACTTTCCCTTCTTGAAAATATACTGGAAGGTCAAAATCTATATCACTGCCCAAAATTGTCAGCCTAACCCTAACATAATATAGGCAGCATAAAAAAACGGTTCCATGACAAATGATCTCAGGACAAATGATCTCAGACAAAATATCTCAGACAAAATATCTCACGGACAAATGATCTCAGGACAAATGATCTCAGGACAAATGATCTCACGGACAAATTATCTTACGGACAAAAGATACCAGGACAAAATATATCAGGACAAATGATACCACGGACAATTGATCTCAGACAAAATATCTCAGACAAAATATCTCACACCTAAATTGTAATAGTGTAGTTGATGATTTTAGCTGATCTGAAATATTTTTTTATTGATTGTCATATGGTTTTGTTTATGTTTTAATATTGTTTATAGGCATATTTAATAATTGTATATTACAATTATATATTAATTGTAAGAAATATTTGGCGTATAAATTTGTCATATTGCACTAAACATTTTAAAGTTAGTATTAGTAATATAGTATACAAAGATTAAAGATTTTTTTTCGATAGACAGAGTAGGTTAGCTTGCCAAACATGAAACAATCCTAACACGTCAGGTGGACGAAACTAGATCAAAGGGGATGAAATAACAATAAAGGCACACCTTTGTATCAAGGTGGCCGCCTGCTTTGATGGCAGAGATATGCTTTAAGGGAAAAACGTCCGCCCTCCATGGACAATACAACTATCATCAACAGTCAATAGTTATGCGTCGGTAACACCTTAGTGATCAGGTGACAAATGCTTATTTAAACAAACAGCGGACATCTCGAGCACGAGCTCACACAATAGATGATCACATAGTATTGGAGTGGTGTGATCATAACAATGTACCTGCCGGCAAAGAAACGTAAGCGTTATGTTTGTGTTGATGATGCAATAAAAACAATAGTTTTACGTTACGAACCTGAAGCCCCATTCACATTTTTGAAAAAAATATTTCGCGGGTTTTGAACATTAAAGTTGTATAAATAACTTTACTTTATTTGCTTTATACATTATCATTTATCAAACCTTTCAGGCTAAAGGAGTAAGTTTGTTTTTTATTTTGACTTTGAAAATCAGATGCTATTACAAAGATTAAGTTTAATAAATCTTTTGATGCTTTGTTAAGTTTAAAAAATTCATTTTATTCACAATTATTATGCTAGAAAAGTGAACAAAACCAGATTGACAGCCAAATTAAAAAAATTCAAATCAACAAAAATCGTGCTCACTGTTAAAATTTTGCTGTGAGATATTTTGTCTGAGATATTTTGTCTGAGATCATTTGTCCATGATATCATTTGTCCTGATATATTTTGTCCTGGTATCTTTTGTCCGTGAGATCATTTGTCCTTGAGATCTTTTGTCCTTGAGATCTTTTGTTTTGAGATCATTTGTCTTGAGATCATTTGTCCGTGAGATATTTTGTCTGAGATATTTTGTCTGAGATCATTTGTCCTGAGATCATTTGTCCTGTCACCTAAAAAAACTGATGTAATACAGGCCGAAAAAGTCACCAAAGTATGATATTGCATTTTTAATTTTAAAAACAGAAAACTTTTTTTTAACAAATTGCTAATTAAATTTAAATGAAAGTAAATAAAATATAAATGTAATGCAAAGTTACAAGTCTGAAGATACAACACAATGAGAAAAATACTTCCTATCAAATATAAGGAAGAACAACCAATAATGGCAATAACAAACATTTTTTTATCATGGCAAAAGTAGCAGTTTGAAATAGTCCATGAAGCAGGTGAAGTAAAGTTCAACTGTATCTGTGACCTCAGCATGTAAGGGGATAGTGTGCCATTACTTTCCCAAATAAGTTGGTTACCCATCAGAGCATGGTGGACTCTGGGACATTCTAGGCCTCAAGCAAATGTTAAAAAATGTTTAAATATTTCTTACCCTGCCCCCAAATGAAATTATCTCCCTCTGAATAGTTGACCTTGTACCAGCCACTGTCTTCAAACACAGCGAGTGTTATAGGGTCTATCAAGGTGTGGTAGGGCTAGAGAGAGAACAGAATAATAGGGTCTATCAAGGTGTGGTAGGGCTAGAGAGAGAACAGAATAATAGGGTCTATCAAGGTAGGACTAGAGAGAGAACAGAATAATAGGGTCTATCAAGGTAGGACTAGAGAGAGAACAGAATAATAGGGTCTATCAAGGTGTGGTAGGGCTAGAGAGAGAACAGAATAATAGGGTCTATCAAGGTAGGACTAGAGAGAGAACAGAATAATAGGGTCTATCAAGGTGTGGTAGGGCTAGAGAGAGAACAGAATAATAGGGTCTATCAAGGTAGGACTAGAGAGAGAACAGAATAATAGGGTCTATCAAGGTAGGACTAGAGAGAGAACAGAATAATAGGGTCTATCAAGGTAGGGCTAGAGAGAGAACAGAATAATAGGGTCTATCAAGGTAGGGCTAGAGAGAGAACAGAATAATAGGGTCTATCAAGGTAGGACTAGAGAGAGAACAGAATAATAGGGTCTATCAAGGTAGGACTAGAGAGAGAACAGAATAATAGGGTCTATCAAGGTAGGACTAGAGAGAGAACAGAATAATAGGGTCTATCAAGGTGTGGTAGGGCTAGAGAGAGAACAGAATAATAGGGTCTATCAAGGCGTGGTAGGGCTAGAGAGAGAACAGAATAATAGGGTCTATCAAGGCGTGGTAGGGCTAGAGAGAGAACAGAATAATAGGGTCTATCAAGGCGTGGTAGGGCTAGAGAGAGAACAGAATAATAGGGTCTATCAAGGCGTGGTAGGGCTAGAGAAACAAAATGGTGGCTTATACCAGAATAATTAGCCATATCCCTATCAAGGTGTGGTAGGGCTAGAGAAAAATAGGTTTGACTAGTTTGTTTAGGTGTACCACATAATAATTTAAATTATGATGAATAAGTGAGTTTTTCATCTACTTAATACTTCTCTTCTGTAATAGCAGTTTTCTAATTTTTAAAGTATTTTACTGACATAATTGGTTTAGATCTAAACATTTACATTATTTGCCAATTAATGACAGATAAGTAAGTAATGTTATGCACTTTAATTAAATATTCAACACAAATTTAGCTAGACTTTTTGATAATTTATACATAAAATATTATATCTAAATATTTGTAGGCCTACATAACTGTGATAATAATAAAAGACAAAGAAAATGTACAAACTTTTTGTTCCCTGGAGCCCATGATTGAACTGTGCATGATCATGGCATCCCAGTGAGATGAAGGCTTTTCGTTCTAGTAGATGCAAGATAAAAGTAATTAAAATATAAATCAACAGAATAAACAGATACCCTTACTAACCAACCAATGTAAAGATTATTTAAATTACAACTGAGTTTTGAATCAGCACACAAAAGATGAAACCATACAACAAATAAATTAAATAAAACAAATATTATTAAATATGGGAATTAACCTTTTTACTAAAATATTGTTTACCACTAAGCAAAACATGTAAATACAATTGTTGAACTGTTTGTTAAACTTAATGCACCTGCTTGTCAATAGCAGATGCAAGTTACAAATCTAAAATGTATTTTTACTCTTTGGAAATTTCAAGGTTATCTTATCAATATGATAAATAAATGGAAACTTACAACCAACTGGATCGGCCCACCAAAATCAGTTTTGTTGCTGCAGTTAAAGTGTCTACTCATTTCCCTAACCACAGCATCCGTCACAAGTCTCATGGTCCCATCTAAAGGTTTGAAAATTGGTTGTGGCCACAGACGGCAATTGCCTTCTGACAAATAAAATAAAAAGTTGTATCAATAATACATTTCTTACAAAGATCAAAAGGATGGTATATTTTTAATAAAGATGTAACGGTGTTTTATTCAATATTTGAATGTACTTGCATCAAAAGAGCTTTTTGTTTACCTGAATCACAGGTCTGGAATTTATCAAAAAGTTTGTTACTAAAGCCAAGGGCATGAAACAATTCATGAATAGCAGTCTGAAACAATTAAAAAAATGACATTAATGGAGTAATTAAAGAAATATTTATAATGAAACAATGCTAATTATTAAATATTTTTTAAAATATAGATTTAACGAGTATTATATAATTAAGTTTAATAGTGTAAATGTTGTCCTAACTTTTAGTAATTATTCGTGCATAAAATTTCAATGAAAAAATGAACTGTATTAATCATCATCTTTGATGCACTAAACATTTCACATGTTATGTTGTTTATTTTCTAGGTATGTTTTATTGCCATTCTGTGTTTTTAAATTTAAAAAAAAAAAGCATTTTAGAAATTTGAAAATATTACATTTTATTACTTTTTTCATATAATTTTTAAAATTATTATCTATTAAAAAATATTTCTAGAAAAAAGCTTTGTTGTTAATATATATAATAAACATTACAATTATTATTTAACAACAGCTTTCTTAGGCTCTTTTTGATAAACCATATCACATCTTTGTGTAGCATAAGGGTCAAAGAATAATTATCTATGTGGAATGCAACATTGTTCTGAATTCTACCATAACATTAGCAAGTCAAAACTATGATCATCCATGCTAGCAGTTAGAACTTTCATTGCTGTTTATAATTACCCTGCTCATGCATGCAGTGGTCCATTTGATCTGCTGGTTGCAAAACTAAAGACCGCCTAGAAAACTTTGGTCAATCAGGCAGAACAAACTTAGACTGAAATATACACAAGGCAATAACAAGTCATGCAAGAAAGATACCTCGATACAACAACATAGTTGTTAGTATTCTAAGGGGGCTACCTAGTTAGAGTAAATTTATTCACCAAACTACAGGTGTTTTAATATAAAATAAATTAAAGAAATCTACAGTGGCCTACTAGTTTTGTAAAGATTGAGTTACTAAGTAGAGTTCTTGTGTGTTAACATGGTGCTGCTTGCAAGACAGACAGTTATAAAACAGTTGAATTCAACAAGTAAAAATTAAATACCTTATAAAGCAGCTCCTGGTCAAATTTCTGAGCCTTGACGGTTCTAGGGCAGAAGTTGACCTGACCTGCTAGAGGTCGACCTTCATTTTGCAGCTGACACGGAGCAGCATAGGCGAGAGCTGAAGTTTTCTGAAATAAAATATATTAAAAAATGTACTTTTTATTGAACGCAATACAAGCATCATACTAAGAAAAAAGTATAGATAAATTGTATTTAATCTTAATTGTTAATTTATTAAACATTTAGAATTCTGTACTGAAATGAATATTATCCACTGGACATATTTAAGCAAAAATATTTGTTCTAAATATCATAGCAAATCTTCCTAAATTTTATTTTAAATTGTAAGTTAATAGCAATTTATTACATTCTTGATAAAATATATTCCAATTTGTAAACTAAGCAATAAATCCACACATGCACACACACACACGTACTTACATAAGGGTTACAGAGTACAGAAGATTGTGCACACACACACACCTACTTACATAAGGGTTACAGAGTACAGAAGATTGTGCACACACACACACGTACTTACATAAGGGTTACAGAGTACAGAAGATTGTGCACACACACACACCTACTTACATAAGGGTTACAGAGTACAGAAGATTGTGCACACACACACACCTACTTACATAAGGGTTACAGAGTACAGAAGATTGTGATGTGATATACAACACAAAGTCTGTGTTACTGAGACCAGAACCATCTTTGAATACTTGGATGGGGTCAGGGTGGGTAAGGTTGTAGATTATATATCCTTTCAGATGGTCGTTTGGAATCTGAAGTAAAAAATTATAAACCATGAATATATTTTTTTGTCATAATAGTAAGGGTAACTAAATGTATATGACTCCGTAATCTAATAAATCATTTGATGCTTAAGCATTAAGCACAGAGCCTGTGCCCTAATTTGAGAAGAGTCAGATAAAATTATGACTATACAGATGTTTTTGATTTGTAATAACAAATTGTGGTATAATTAGACTTATTTTGGTGGCTTTACCATAATCAAATACTCAAAATCGATAGCGTGTAGCTTGTAGCCCAGTTTTAGTACTGTTTCTCTTGGTACCAGGAAGGAGGTATTTCAAGATTATTAGTGATCAAAAAGCAAAATTACTCTACTTTCTAAATTGCCCAATATAAGATAAGATATATATAATTTTCTTTTGATTACTTTCCTCTCAACCTAGTGTATGTGCCTCTGGCAGGAACTTAAAAAAAAAAATTCCTCTTTAGACCTAATGATCCATAGGGCATTTGAAGTTCATGTTTCTTGACCTTGGCATATAAAGGGATAATGTGGTCAGTACTATGCCCAGCTACCTTTACTTTCCCTAACTTTAGTTAGGTACCCATCAGAGTTAGTTGGACTCAGGGACGTTGCACTAACTTGAACCTGGATTCGAACTCGAAACTATCTGGTTAGCAGTCTAGTGCAGGAACTTACCTTGAAGTTATCTAAGCACACTTCACCTTCATATCCCTTTGGCAATTTGGCACACCTGAATAAACATAAGAAATAAGAAAAGGAAACACTGAAAAATGTACAAGGAAACAGTGAAAAATAAGGCAAAGATTTTTAAAATGGTTAATTCAATTATTCTGTTTTTACTGAAATTATGTTTAAATCTGTTGAAAAAAATTGAATGTCTTGATGATTTCTCTACATGAAAATTAAGTGGATACTCTTGTATGATAAAAAGTACCAAAACAACTTCAAGAAAACTTACTTTCCAATGTTGATGCCCCTATTGAAGATGGAAGGGCAGGGGCTACGTGGCAACAACAATGGAACATCTTCTCTAATAACTAAAAAATGTTACATCACTTTTTATGGTGTATATATATTTGTATGTATTTTAACTAAAAGTGTTTTAAATAAGGGGTCATCCATAAGCAATGTCACGCTTTGAAAAAATAATTATTAACACCCCCCCCCCCCCCATAAATCAGATTTTCTTCATTTTACAATGACAAAACATCAAGCTACAAGCATCGCCCTTCAAAATTGCAGCTTTTGTTTTTTTTTTTAAATTGATTTCTTTATGACTAGGCTTGGTTAAAATTAAGAACATTGATCAATTTTTATAATAATGTACAGAAACAGTCTTTTAAAAAATACAGTTTCTAACATTAATTTTTAAAATGCAAAAGTGTGTCATTAAACTTTCTGAGCCCTCCCACTTATCATAAAGTTTGGATCTCCATTAAGCCTAGAAGCATGATGTTGTTTATGGATGACCCTAACTTAAATATTCAAATTTTAATTGACTTATCAAAGACAGTAAACAAATTAATTTGTCTAAATATGAGCAAGCTTCATGTTAGTGGGACAGCAAGGTCTGATGGTAGAACACACGACTGATAATCTAAAATGCCAGTCAAATTCAGATCCCAGGTTCGAGTCCATCGGACATAGTGCTGACCAATCTATCCCTTCATACACTGGGGTCACAGAAACAGGTGAGCTTTACTTTATCAGCCTCATGGACTGCCATGTTAAAAAGGGTAACTTTACTAATAGTTACAGAAAGAAAAACACAATGAAATGTAGCAGTGGTGTAGCGAGATCGGGTGTCACCCGGTGCGGCACTTAATGGTGTCACCCCCCAGAGGCGTAGCGACCCTTCCCGGGGACAAACTTTCAAATTTTCGATTTGCACCCCCCCCCCCCTCAAACTTTCGATATGCACCCCCCCCCCCTTCAAGTTTTTCTCTATATATTTTGCTATTTTTTGCCTTCGTGTCATCCCCCTAAATGGTGTCACCCGGTGAGGTCCCCACTCCCCGCTCTCCCCTCGCTACGCCCCTGAAATGTAGCCCACGTCGTATTAACAACACTCAGTATATATGGGGTAGTCGTCAGATTTTAAAGCTATTCAGTCACTCATCTCACCTGAAAACAAGCGGCTGATTTTTCTGACAGCTCGGTTTAAAACAAGCTTCAAGGCCGTCTGTTCCTCTGGTAGGAGCTGCTCATCAAAACTATAAAACAGGGTTATTCTGATTGGGTTATAAACAGTTCTGGAATGTCTCTTTGGTCTTTGAGAGCCTGCGCCGTGGTCCTGGAACAACTGTACATGTTTCTCAAGCAAGTTCAGACTGTTCTGGTGACTCTCGTAGAGGCAAGATTCTGTGACATCGTGGTGGGGCTCAAACAGAATGAGGAATGTTGCCCAGGTGATAACAAAATGTACGCCTCGCATTATCTGCATTCTGCCATTGTGTTTAATAATTTGTTTGCCGATGTGAGCAGTAAAGAGACTGCATTTAAACTGAAAATAAAATAAAACTCTAATAATTTACAGTCAATCAATACTTGAATTATAACAATGAATATTGTTAATGAACATAATTACTTTTAGTTAACAAAGTAGCCTCATATATGTAGCCTCAAGTAAAAAAAATGTAGCCTCAATAAATTAATAAATAAATGATTTAGGGCCTACAATTTTCTAATTAAATTCTTATCCCAACTAAGAATATAATTTCAAGAATTTTATTAGATCAAGAATATAGATCTACTCTATACACTGTTTCTTTCAGACATTTTTTTCTCTGGAAAGGGGGGGGGGGGTGAAATGTGAAACTTTCTGGGGGAGGGGGGTGGGGCAGACTTGAAATTTTGAGGGTGGGTGGTGGTATAGTATAGGAGTTTACTCTAGATTCTAGATCTAGTAGGCCTACATTACAAATTATGAAATAATCAGCCCTATTACTTACTAGTACTAGATCTAGTAACTTACAGAGATAGATCTAGATCCAGTATAATACTGAGTAGGCCTATTGGTAAATACTAAATAGTTAGGGGCCTAAATAAAATAGTAAAATACTAAATAGTCCTACTACTAGACTAACTAGACCTAGATCTAAATCTAGTAACTTAAGCCAAGGATCTTAAATATTATAAATAAAATACTCCACCGACCTAAAGTCTAAAGTGTCCTAAAGCCTAAAGTAAATGAGTAAATGTCAATGACAGTAATAATAATATGAGTAAATAACTGTAAATGTCATGAATAAATAATTAAATATTAAATAAATTGTAGCTAGGCCTGCTTAGTAAATAAATATAGATCTAGCTTGTATTAAATGTGGGCTATAATAAGTGGACCTAGAATCTAGATCTATAACTGTACTGTAAGCAAGCTAACAACTTACTCACACATCGATTAGCTAGGTTTCACTTTCCATGCAGA